CTACTGCCCTGCATCTCACATTTTTAAACACAAAAACGTGTTCAGTTCAAATGGCCCCTAATGAAATTTGGAAGCTGTTAGCATCACACAGAACACATTTTTGTGTTTAAAAACGAGAAGCAGGACAGTGCAATGGAAAAACCACAAAGGTCTTGAGACACTTTATTCTGAACTTATTTTAACTTATGCAGCATGTTTTTATATCACAGTCACAAGCAAGCTGTGAATGTCAATATCACTGATTGGGTGAACACATGCAGCATGCATGGTTTGACTTTTTGGACCATTAAACATAAAACAGACCATTAAACAATATTTAAAAATATGATAACCCAAGGTTAAGAGTCGCATGAAAATCCCATTTAAAGCCCTTCAGAGGGGTATAGTGATACTGGAATAGAAAAGGTATAGGTGCCACTCTATTAAAAAGTTTGTATATGATGATTTACGGCTGTATACTGTACTTAATTTCATGCACATATTAGTAATGGGTTTATATGAAATAGCTGAACATTGGGTGTCTTCAAGCTTTTAACCTTACAGTATATGCATAGTTATAATAATAATAAAAAATAAAAATAAAAAAAGGTGAACAAATGGGTTTTTAACCTACTTGACAAGGTGACAAATTTGAGACTGGCGATTTGCAGAACAATCCTGTTCCTGAGACCTGTAATACTGTCAAGGTAGCTCCATTTCATTACTATTATCGACAGTTAGGAGAGTGATGGAAACAGTTTGTGATGCTGTCAGCCCTCTCTATAAATGACAAACCCCACCCATGACTGATTGTACTAAGTGCTGCTAAATGTCTAGCGTAAAAGGCGGCCTGTCACCTCCGAAACTAAATGTACAAAGACTTGTATTTCTTTTCTGGTATTTGACATTAATGCTAGTTTTTTGAAATACAGAGTTCTGAGAAAGTATAATGTGACAGGTCTGCTGAAGGAGGATACTTGTGCAGGAGTTTCTTAGCTAGGTCACTGGATGACAGGTACCATGGATGCATGGTGAGAAACATTCGCACAAGCGACGGCTCCTTCAGAACGCCTTCATTGTCTGCGAGGAAGACAGAAAACCAGAGAGACATTTGCACATTAATCAACACAAATCCATTATTTTTCATTTAATATACTAATAGAATGTAAGTAGCTTGTAATTTGCTGTTCTCATAAAATGGTTTTTTATATCTATACAACATTTTTAATGGCTTTGCAATGAAAGCATCATAACATATTATGTAAAAACATTTATATTTTACTAAATGCACATTATTATAAGCCAGGCCTAATATACGACACTCAATTTTAAAGTAACAAGGGGCCCCTGCTCCATTTCTCTATCCACCAGGTGGTTGAATTGGATTGAAAAAAATTGAAGACCCCTGGGCAAAAGAAATTAACATGAGAAATGCTGAAGAGGTTCGAAGAATATTGAGAAATTCGAAACATGTATATACAGTTAAACAAGCCAGTGTTGTTCCGACTGGCTGATCAGAGTGTTTACACAAGAGAAGGAGGAAGCAAATATGACCACTGACCAAAGGCTTTGATGCAGGCTTCCACCAGCTCATCCACGCTGGCTGACTGACCCGATGAAACGCTCTCCATCCCTTTCTACTTCACTGTTCTCCACAGCCCCTCCTTTCCCCTGCCCCCACTTAATTTTCCACTTCTCTCTTTGATCCCGCTCTTTTTCAGTCTGAAAACGAGACAATACCATGCACGGCAAAGGAAACAGAATCAATAAAGCAGAGAATGGTTCAGATGTGAGAGGTGTCACTGGTTTTTCATTTTCATCAAAAGCAGACAAATCCTGGTCACACATGGATAATACGGTGGGACAAGACTCATCCAGAGAAAAACAAGGTGCATTAAAGAAAAAAAAATCAAAGATCCATAGGAACTGTTCTCAAACGAGAGTAGAAGAAAAAAAATAAGCCTTAGAAACATTTTCAAAGGAACTTACCCGTTGAATCTGGCATCAATGGACAAACAGTGATCACTGAAGGTCTTTGAAAACAGAAGTGCTAATGAACGCAGGGCTTCAGTATAGCCTCTCTACCCGTGCACTGAAAACCACAGAGGGCCTCACTGGGGTTCACTCCGAGTACAGCTGCCTGTAGACTCAATTTCCTGTCAGTTGAGAAACTTACAGCTGTTGCATTTCCTGTTCATAATGTTTCGAGATGTTTGTTTTTTTCACATCTACAACAAAAAGGGGTGGAGGACACGGGGTGAGAAAAAAATGTAAAAAGAAAAAAAAATTGTTATTGCAAAATTCAATGTTTTTATACTTGGTTCCTGTCAAAAAATATCTAAACATCTAATGTCTAAAAATATCTAAAGACAAACTTAGTTGAGAACCAAAACTGCATTAGATATTAAGACATGTTTTCGGAGAACATATCTTGATTCATTTTTCTTACCCCATTGGCCCTTTCATTTAAAGGGGTCATATGATGCTGCTAAAAAGAACATTATTTTGTGTATTTGGTGTA